AAACCCAAAGTTTTGGAACTTTAGAAGGATTGCAGGGTAAGAGGTACATATTCATACTTATGTACCTCTTCCCTCCAATCTTCTTAAACATGGGAGAAACTTTGTCCGAATGTTAAACTATTCGGAAAAAGAAAGTTTCTCTCATTTGTAGTGGAGATGGAAGGCTTTGAGGTATATTATATTAATATATACCCCAAAGCCTTCCATCTCCACTTGAAAGTTCCAAAACTTTGGGTTAATAGTTTGCAATTAACCCAAAGTTTTGGAACTTTCTAGAAGGAATTGCAGGGTAAGAGGTACATATTCATACTATGTACCTCTTACCCTCCAATTCCTTCCTTAACATAAACAAATTTGGAGTTAATTGTTTGCAATTAACTCCGGGTTTGTTGACCTCCAAATGAAAATGAAAGGGTAAGAGGTATATAGTGACCCTATATGCCTCTTACCCTTTCATTCTCATTAATTATGGGAGAAACTTTGGCCGAATGTTAAATTATTCGACCAAAGTTTCTCCCATTTTTTGAAGGGATTGGAGGCTATGAGATACTGATGCAATGTCAGTACCTCATGGCCTCCAATTCCATCCTGAAACTGATCAAATTGGACCTTACATGCATTTGAAATTTGCCATGTAAAGTCCACTTTTTGAGAGAGAGGATTTGACTGCGTCAAATTCTCTTTTTCGTTTACGAGAGTCATGTTACTATTCGTTAGGTTAAATTACTTTTAATGCCCATTCAAGGAAGTACATGTCAGTTACAGGGTTTATAGTTTTACTCGAATTGAGTAAACCTCTTGGAAGCAATTACCACAAGAGCCAAGACTTCTCGTTTACAGACTTTGAAAGCCAGGAAGGAGCCAGGTAACAATAATGGGCTCTCTTATGATATTTTGGGATATTTATCAACAATTTGAGTTTCTACCTATTGTCTTCAATGAGGATTTTTTAGGCCAGAAGTACAATACCTGTACAGTCTAACTACTAGGGCAATGTAGTCAAACTGTGCACGTATTGAACTTCTAAGGCTATTATTTATCTGCTATTGACATCATTCTTTTACATTACCGTCCTCTGGTCCTTAGAGGACCATAGATTCTGAAATTACTTGTGCAGAGCAAAGTTCTTCCGAGATCTCTCTATCCTTCGTAGATCTCGGAAAAACTTTGCCTTAAACTACTGCATTAATGTTTCCTAGTATTCAAAGAGCTATGAATTCTATAGTTGATCTTATAAGGTAGAGTTTTTCCTAACTTTCTCATTCGTTGAAAGGTTTTCAACAAAGCTATACCTTAAAAATCTGTGCTTGTTATATCTGATCATTTGTGTGTTAGGGGAGGTAAATTTATTCCACTAGAGCAAATTTTTTCCGAGGTTTCTCATTCGATGAGAAACCTCGGAACAACTCTTCAATAGTGTAATGAATTTGTGGTATTTGTCCTGCAAACAGCGAGAGAACTTGTCTGTAATTCGTTTATGATGAAGTTATCTGGATGTCTCTCAGATGAGGAAGGAAGTCCAGAAAACTTCACCATAAGTTAATACTTGTGTATTTCTATGACTCTCTTCACGTCAGAGAATGTAAATTTACTCGAATAGGGCAAAGTTCTGCTCAAGTTTCTCATTTGATGAGAAACCTCGGAAGAACTTTGCCCTAAGGTAATGTATATGTGATTGTTGGCCCGCAGAGAAACAAGGAATCTGTTTGTATTTCGTTTATGGTGAAGTTCTCGGATGTTCTCTCAAATTATATGGAAAATCAAGATAACTTCACCATAATTTGTTGTAGTTGTGATTCTCTGGCTCTTTGCCGGCCAGAAAACTAGAAAATAGTTTATAGTGGGAGTATGCTCGATGAATACCTACTCACTAAAAATATACGTTATTTTTTGTTTTCCTATGGGAAAATAGTTTTGATTTTTATATCGTATGCTTTGTTATTGCATGAATTGTCTATTTTCTTAATAAAAACTCATTTTTCCGTGTGATTCTGAATCAATGCATTCCAAAAAAGCGTTTTCCGCCTTTGAAACGTGAAAACACACATTGCATGAAGAATCAGAG